GTGAAATACCAATAAAATGCAATGTATTCTGTAAGCAGGAGCGGTGTTTAAATTTGATGCTTATTTTAGTAACATTTTGGGGATTTTGGGCAAAAAACCAGGGGGTGGGGGATGGTCTAACTCCTAAGGAAAAAATCCCAAAGCCGGCCCACTTGGTATTTTAGAGTTGTTGGGTAGTACCTTTAATCTGGAGAAAAAAGGAGAGATGGCATGTGTCACCCCTGCCTGGTCCTCTGGTAAACTCGGTCTTAACTCATTTTGCCCTCGCAGCTGCAGACATATGAGCCATCTTGAAGCCTCAAAGAATAATTCATAATTTTGTAAAACTTACCGCTTCGGTGTCGATAATTCATCCTAGAAATTCCTAATTTGTTCTATAACCTATATATCCTTAATTTATTATTTGTGAATGTACGTTGAATTATGAAACTAAAGCTGAAGACGAATCACGTAAAACTCTAATAGGGCTGAGCTCGAGGCAGTGACTGCAAAAATCAAGACCTCAATTGGTTTGTTTCGTCGCAACCGACAATACGCCGCAATCGTTTTTCCCGACTCAGTTCGATAGGAAAGTATTCATTTTCGTCTCAGAATCAGTACACAGCCACCCTAAAAGATCTCCAGGCTTTATAACTGTGTTATGAGCAAAAAGAAACATCAAAACCTGCTAGCGCTAACTACATTTTTATCTTCATTAATTAAAGTGTGCTTAACTAGGTCGTGCAGTTCACACGTGGAAGAATTTCATCTTTTGTTTTTATTCTCTTTATTTACAAAGGTAAAAGTACAAGTCATCATTTGGAAGAAAGTTTTAATTTACAAAAATGAAATTATCTTTTGGATATCTTAATGCTTTAGAAACACATGTCTGGTATTAATAACACGACCTTCAGAAAAAGTTCTAAGTTCTTGGACTATTTTGTCGTTTCATCGTTTTGGTCTATAGTTTTTAAGTCGAAAAACAATAGCAAAGCACTTGCCTGATTGTGTCCTTCACTGCTGTCTAACTTCTTCTAG